GTGGTGGACTGGGGCGAAAAGGCAGCGAGGCGAATATTGAGTCAGCTTAAGCACTGAGCTGCTAAGAGGCATCTGCTCACCGGCCAGGGGGGGTCCGGCACGTGGTGGGGGTCAAAAGAGAAGAGAATAGTTGACTCAGAAGAAACAAGGAAGTACAGGAGTCAGAGAAGGGGGTTCTATCATAACCCGCACTCGACCGTGACTATGACATACCGTGCCGTGACATAGTCATACCGTGACTATATGCGATGCGTTGATGTAATCTGAGCCGTCCGATTGTGTTCCGCTCTGCCCTCCCAACAGGACCCGGCTGTTCTCATCTAAGGGACAGGCAGACGGGCAAAGGAAAAGAAAAAGGAAGCGGAAACGCTCTGAACAACAGGAGGCAGAGTTGCAGGAAGAATCTGTGCAGGAAAGAAAGGAGGCTGAGTTGCCAAGATGTTCAATCTTGTGGCTCTCTGGCTGGTTCACTTAAAGCTGCGGTCTATATTCATCGAGGTATTTTCCGGGGTTATTTAGGATGCACACCCAACGAAGCACGCTGATTTGCTTACGAATGACCCGCTTCCAGTATCAGTAGGTGCGAGGGAGTCAAACAGAACTGGCGAAATCCGCCAGTTTCGTGATTTGGTTCGGTTGGGAAACAAACCTCGGCGACTTCGCGATAATTTCGTGAGGTTGGGTTGGGGAGGGGATTGGCGAAATTAATCAGCCAATCATGAGCAGGGAAATTACAGGCGGGGGTTGTGTTGTCACAAACTCGGAAACACACCTCGCCACTGAAGCGGAAGGCTACCTGGTTTTCAAGTGATAAACCAGAGCCTCTCCCGCCAGGTATGTAGACGACAGCTTTAAGTCTAACGCAACTCTTTCAACTCCACTACAAGGGCGTGTATCACACTTTCAAGAATGATGTCAACATGACTCACAAGGGAGCACGTCAATGTAGCGGTTCTTTGGGCGGTTGACTGGCAGCATCGCCGATGTAGCTTCCTGCCTGCTCTCCCCCGCGGCTCTCGCCTGCGCCTGGCCATTCACGCACGCACACGCAGGGAAATCCACACACCGCGTTTATACATATGAATAGACTCAATAGTTAGGTTGTTTCAAACAGATACTCGGTTGCGTGGCACTGAGTGCTGTTAGCTCTCTCCCCCCGAGGCTCTGGCCTGGGAGGCCCATTCATGCGTCGGAGAGTGCTGCGGTGCGGGGGATGAAACGCGTTGCGATGCAACGGAACGCGATGGAAGGGGATGCAGTGCGGTGCCACGGAATGTAATTCCCACGAAGCGTCACTCACCCGCAGCCCTTCGAACTCCTCCACGAATCTTTGCTTCCCAGTCACATTCGATACAGCGTCAAGCTCGCGTATCCGTTTCTTCAGCTGCTTTAGCGCCTCCTCGCACCATCCCAGCCGCTTCTCTGACATCTCCCACCCGCCCCACTCCCCCTTCGCCTCTCCCCCAGCTTCTACCCCTAATTTCCTCTCCTCTACCTCTCGCTCTCCCTGTCCCTCTCCCCCCTCCCCTCCCCCACCCCCTCCCTCTACCGCTTCTCCACCCTCTGCCCTTCCATCCACTCCAGCCCTACCCGCGTCTGTCCGCTCATCTGCTATGCTCTCCTCGCCCTTCTCCAAAGACTTGCTATAAGACAGCCCCAAACCCCCCAGCGGTTCTCGTTCCGCGATAGTCGGTTCCGCGATTCGCGGCGCAGCGACGTCGTCCTTGGCGGAAATAGGTCCGGAGAACGAGTGCCGGACCGTAGGAGGCCGACTCCCCGAACCTACGGAAATCGAGGCGCTCCTGCGGCTCGGACTCGCGAAGGGGTCGGGGCTCATGGAGAGGCAGTCGTCGTCTTCTCCGAGCGGGTCTCTGCCGTCGCTCGCGGAGTCGTCGGGCTGCGCTCGGCGACCGCTGCGACTCCCCGAGTGACTAGCCGAATGGCTACGAAAGTTGTGCCCTAAACGAGAGGCGATGCCTTTGCCGGCGTGCTCGGTCTTGCGCTTGATTTCCCCCCATATCCGACCCGGCGACATGCGACCGGGCGACGACATCGCCCCGGCAGCCACCGTTAAATCAAGTCGTGACGAGACCACGCTTAACTAAGAGCTATGGCAATTAAAGGTTAACTTAACCAAGAGCTATGGCAAGATTAAGGTTAAGTATTAGTGAAGCAGGTAGTTAGAAGGACCAGGTGGAAGCAGCTTCGCAGGTTGTGAAGGATAAGGCCGCACAAGGAGGTCTGTGCGGGCGGTTAGGTGTACGACAACCAAGAAGGACACGACGAAGACGCGCGAGCCGAATGTTTTAGGCGCCCTGTCTTATGCCGTCGAAAGGCTTGGTTTTGGAGGTATTGATACGCGACGTCGGCGGCTGGGTCAGACACTACTCAACCAACGAGAAAAGAGACATCCGTGCTTCAACTGTGACAGCTGTTTCAAGGCAAATGGCGGAAAAGTAAGGAGATAAGCGGCGCTAAACGGTGACTAAATAGGAGTGATAAGTACGCGGAAATATCTTTCACACCACCCCCAAAACACGCGCGACAAGTCCAATCCAATGCCGCTTCTTCCGCAAGTCAGGCTGCTTCCCCCACTGCGACCGCGACACCTCAGTCAGTCTGTCCTCCTCCGCCCTGCGAGCGACCCAGTTCACTTTCCGACCCCCCGACTGAGGCTGGTCGGGGTGCCCCCCTCCCCTCACCCCTTGGAGATTTCGCGCTTTGTTGTGACTGGCGGTGGCGGTCGAGATTGAACCGATGGCGGTTCGGTTGAGCAGATGGCGCGAGAGGGTCAAGGTTCGGCCGAGGCACTGAAGTGTGCTTGGATCGAATGGTGATAACGATGAATGAGCTTGTTCGACAGATGTGGACCCGATCTCTGCCGATTGACGGCTAAGATTTCTCCGATGTCGTTCCAGGTTGCAGTGCTGGTTTGGGGTCTGGCTCGCCTGGAAACTGCAGGAAACGGGAAGTACTGATTGGATGGAGCATGCCTTCCACTGACCACGACGAAAGTGTAACACAGTAGAGACGTCCTTCGCTAAAGTTGCAATCAGCAGCAGATTCCCGACGAATTGATTGAAGCTGGTTACGCACTCGTGCGCTCACAGCACTTCGTATGTTACCTTGGAGAGTTACAATATCATCTCGCTTGCTACATTTCTTCGTGGGGCCAACCCAAACCAACCAACTCTCACACGGCACCAGCTGCACTCACATTTCTGACACATATTTCGAATCTGCATTAGAAATGCACATTAGCCCTCGGCTGTAGTCTTACTATAGAATCCCTAGGAGATTGATCGATGTTGCACTGCGTTCAGCATTTCAAAACCGGAAAACCGTGAAAAGGGTGGGGTCGAAACCGGAAGGCTATTTCAACGATGGACGGATGACGCTAGTAAATATATAGTTCGAATCTCATCGTATCTAGACGACTTCCGTCAGTGCGACTTACTTGCGAATCGCTGAGACGGAAACCTGTGGTTGAGTAAGAGCGACGGCCCAGGAAACACTTCTAGGACGAGTTCACTTGATCGAGATCGTAGAATCGAACATGATTAGCAGACACGCGGAGAAGAGAGGGAGAACAGAAACACTGTAGAAGATGTCTGGCGATGCCTTCGTGTGATGTGATTCGTCAGGTTTAGTCTCGTATACGACGACGGAACCAGTCTTACGTGATCATGGACTTCCTCAGCCGAGCTACAGCCAGTAGCGATCACCATGGTCAGGTAAAGTTGCAATCCTTAGCGTGAATTTGTTGCACCTTGTTTCATGGCTGAATGTATCTCCGTTGGTGCTGGTTTCATTACCGCTCCATTCCGTTAAGTGTATATGTATACATGTATACATGTATACTTGTATACTTGTATATTTATCACTGTGCTCCAGCAGGAAGGGATTCCCGAGGAGCCAGACTACGCTATCCGTTGCTACGCAACCAAGCACTCATGGAGAGGACGGTACAAGCGGCTCTTCTGTGTGTCATCCTCCGCTATAATCACACTCGATCCTCACTCGCTCTCGTCTACCAACCAGTATACCCTGGCGGCGGATTACGAGGGAATTGTGGTGGCCCCTCCGCCAGGAGGGAAGGAAGACGGACAGGTGCGAAGGCAGAAATCATGCTGGATGATCGTTGCTGTTGGATTCTGGCATAACCAACTGTTACGTCTGTTGATTTGATAAATCTCAGCCTTGAGATTTGCATAACCTCTCCTCTCTTGACTTTTTCATTGGGTCATGCATTCTTAATCAAGCCTTTCATCAACTATCTGTCCCGTCTCCTGCCTCGTTTCACTCTCGCAGCAGCTGGAATTCACAATCAACGTTCGCACAGATGGCCGTGGCAAGTACAAGCCCATCAAGTTCTCGGCACGGTACCTCACGACGCCCTACTATCTGTCTTCAACTTTGTATTCCGTAGTCCATGCTCCTTAGTCGAAATGTTGCAGGAAAAATGTCACTACACTCCCTTATCATTATCGTTTTGCTACCTTCCCTTCCGGATTAACTCTCCGTGATCCTCTGTTTCCAGGCACCGTGCGTCTTTGCTGACGGAGCTGCACAGGGTGGTGGCAGCATTGCATCCACACCCCCCTCGGCCCCTCACCACGCCCTCCACGGTCTTCCCGGTTCTCTGCCTTCGCCGCCGCTCCCAAACCTGGGTGCCTAGAGTACGTCTGTCTGTGCTGTGCACAAATACACTTTTCAATGCTTTTACCGCATGCTGTCTTACCTTTGCCCCAAACCCCCTCCCCTTCCCCCCACCCTCTTTTCAGCCTTCTCTACTGTTGATTACGTCATGCTGACTCCCCCTTGGCCATGTCTCCTCATGCTGCCTCTCACTGCCATCCATCCATCCATCCATCCATCCATCCATCCATCCATCCATCCATCCATCCATCCATCCATCCATCCATCCATCCATCCATCCATCCATCCATCCATCCATCCATCCATCCATCCATCCATCCATCCATCCATCCATCCAGGCTATGCGCATCTCACCAGTGGGAATCGAGGTCATTCAAGCACCCGTAGAAGCAGTCACTGCTGCTTCCACCCCCACAACCTTCTCCTCCTCCTCTGTGGCCTCCATAGCAGCAGCAGTGCGCTGGAGTGTGGAGTTTCAGGGTCTCTCCTCCCCTGCTCTCACTGTGCTCGCTAGCCCAGAGGAGGCCGCATCTGGTGCAGGTGCATCTGGTGGAGGTTCATCCGGAGGGTTCTTTGGTGTGCGAAGGGGGGTGGCGGGGAGGGAGGACGGGGGGTTCATTCTGCGGCTGGGGTTTGGGAGGCGGGCCAAGGCGATCACGGCTACTGGAGGGTGTTCCAACTCGGCCATCCTGTCCAAGATTGTAAGCTTCACGTCTAACAGAAATTCCATCATCCAATGACTTGCGCCTTCCAACGGTTCCGACTGTTCTGCCAGTTTGCCTCTGCGCGTACCTTTCACTACTTTTTATCATAATAGTCTCTAACGTCCATGTTTTACACTTGACGAGGCACTTTCGCAAGTCTTGACGCAATTCTCTTCTACTTTTCTGCTTCCCTCAGGTTGACACAGCCAAGGGCTCCATAGGGCGTGCGCTCACAGTGGACACCACCTCTCGCCCAAGCGTCTCAGACTTTGTTTCACAGACTGGTGCGTGCAGTGCATTGCAGGGGGCAGGGCAGGGCAGGGCAGGGCATAGCATAAAACGGTTTCAGTTGCGTATTCCAGCAGTGCGGTTTCGTTCGTTCATCCCGGTCCCACGCTCCTCCAACAATGTGCCCCATCCTAACCCCGTTGCTGATCACAGCGGTGGGTGGAGTGGGTCCCAACGAGCCCCCGCTGGGAGAATGGTCCGTCACTCTCGTTCGCCACTCTGCTCTGCTCCCAGACCCCTACCCTCGTGCCTCCTCTGCTGCTGCCAGTGGTGCTGGCGCTACCTCTAGCAGCAGCAGCAGCAGCAATAGCCAATCAGGCGGCCGCATGAGCCTGGAGGGTGGTTTGGGTGTGGAGCGGAGTGGTTCTGCTCGCCAGTTTGCCGTGACTCGGCACTATTTCGTGGAACGCAACCCAGTCACTTACGAGGTGAGCGAAATACGTTTCATGATTTATGCTATGACTTGCCACTACTCAGTTACTTTATAAGATGAGCGGACAAGTGTTCCTTCGAAGGCTGTGTAATGAGGGCTCATTGATGTGCTTGCATATAAAGTGTTGACATGGCATGGCTTAAAGGCACATCACATTCCGTGATGTTTTTCCGATGTTGCCAAAAAAACCCCTGTTGCACATACATGCGTCAGCTCTCAACTGTGTCTGCTCTGGTGCGATGGGTGGAGGAGCCTCAACTGCTCGCCCTGGAGTTCGTTGACGGCGCACCAATCCTGGTGAGTGAGACACGTGTTGCTATGCCCCGCTTCCTTCTCTGTCACACATCTATCAGCACGGCAGCGCCAGCGCCCCTTTCAGTCTGTTTTCATGATTCGTCCATCACACATACAAAGCACATGTATGTCAATCCAAGTGTCACAATGTTCAAGTATGAGTATTTCTGTCACCCACCCACCCAATGCCAGGTGTACCGCTGTGCGGCACGTGACTCTCTCCTCTCCGCCCTCAAAGACGCCATCGAAACTGAGGTGAGTGTTACGATGTTTTAGAACCAAGGTCTCGGGTTTTGTTTTTTTAGTCGAGACTAAAACATTGACTCTCTCCTGTCCGCCCTCAAAGACGCCATCGAAACTGAGGTGAGTGTTACGATGTTTTAGAACCAAGGTCTCGGGTTTTGTTTTTTTAGTCGAGACTAAAACATTGACTCTCTCCTGTCCGCCCTCAAAGACGCCATCGAAACCGAGGTGAGTGTTACGATGTTTTAGAACCAAGGTCTCGGGTTTTGTTTGTTAGTCGAGACTAAAACATTGACTCTCTCCTGTCCGCCCTCAAAGACGCCATTGAAACCGAAGTGAGATGTAAGGTTTTAGACCTTAAGCTCTCGGGTTTAGGTGTATGAGGATAATGTTTTTCCCTTTCTCGCTCACACCTCACTCACTCACCCTGCAATTCCACCCTGTTGCCGCATCGTCCTACACTAACACGCATTCGATGCCTTGCTGTCCTCTCCCCCACCCACCCACACAGACATCTCAACCAGTGCCGGTTCTCGCTCGCCCCACTGCCACCGGCCACAGACTAGACGGCCCTTACGGCGATGCCTTCCATGCCTACTCCCCTCCTCCTTCTGGCGCATCCTCCTCCTCTTCCTCCTCCATTTCCCACACAGCTACCGCCACTGCCCCCACCTCCTCCTCCTCAAACGCCTCTGCAACTCCAGCAGTAGCAGCAGCATCGTCCTCATCATCAGGAGCAACAGCCGCAGCAGCGGCGGTGGCAGCAGCAGCAGCATCTGCAAGCCTGGAATCCTCTCTCTCCATGTCGCGCCTAGGCCAGGGGCTGTTTGGCGACGTAGAAGGGGATCAGCTCCTGGTGAAGCACCTCGCAGCAGCAGCTAAGGATGCAGTTGCGGACGGGGGAACCATCCCTGGTTCGAAAACCCGGCTCTGGCGAAGAGTCAGGGAGTTCAACGCATGTGTGCCGTACTCAGGGCTTTCCACAGGGGTTGATGTTCCTGATGTGGTGGTCATGGCTGTGCTTAGCATGCTGCCCAGTCCGCCTGCTCCTCCTCCTGCTGGTACCGAGGCTGCTTATAACGAAGCAGGTGCTTATAGCGCAGCGGCGATTCTCCCTGCGCCTTCCCCCAGGGCTGCTGGGACGCACATTGGGCTGCTGGCGTGTTTGCGGCGCCTGGTGGGGGCAAGTGGCGCGTTCTCATTGGTGGTGGGGATGCCGGGGGCAGTGGGGAGGATCATGGGGCTGGTGCGGAGTGGGTCGGAGGCAGTGGCTGCTGAAGCACTCGGTGAGTCTTTGGGGACGGCTGAGAGATTTGGCATTGTGGAGATTTTCTGGGGGGGGGGGGATTATGGGGCTTGTGCGGAGTGGGTCAGAGGCAGTGGCTGCTGAAGCACTCGGTGAGTCTTTGGGGGACTGCTGTTGGGGGAAGTGGTGAAGACGAGAGAGAGTGGCAAAGGGCGTTGGGGGAACTTGAGCGTATTGGAGAGATTTTTCCTTCCTTTCGTTTTTGCGGCTGCTTTCATCCTTGTCCCAGTTTTCCTGTATCCTTCCTCCTATATCCTGCTTCTATCCCACTCCTACCCGGTCCCTCGCATGCTCCGCCGGCGTTTGCGTCTCCGCACATCTCTCCTGCCCCCTATCCATCAGGCCTGCTGCGAGCCATCATAGCACTGCCTCTCTCTGTGCGGAATACAGCCAGCCAGGTTGGAGCAGCCAGTCAGGGCACAGCTGCCAGCACAGCGTGCAACAAGGCCATGGCTGCTCGCGCTGCTGCCAAAGCTGCGTCCTTTCCCACGCCAGTCCAGGTGAAGCTTCCTCCTTTAAAATCATCCATTTTAGGTTCCCTCCCCACACCTTATTCGTGAAAATGTTTTTGAGGCGCCACAAAAAATCGTTCTCCTCCTTCACAATCATCCATGTAAGGTTCCTTTCTCACACCCCAATTTGAAGAATTCCCGCTTGCCATGCGTCCTTAGAGTACTTTTGTACAGTCTCCAGAAAACAGGGGCAATTAACTCCAGAAATCTGTGTCTCCTTCTGCGTTGTTTCCCTCTGTCTTGTTTCCTTCCTCCCCCTGTCCATTGTTGCTTGCACCCCTCCCAGGTGGCAGCGGTGGTGAATCGCCTCAAGCCGCGGTCGGTGTCGCCGCTACTGTCAGCTGCAGCAGGGGCGGTGGTGGAAGCGCTGGTGTGCTCCCCTGACAGCGACACCACACAGGACACTAAAGCGCCGCCTCTCCTCTATTGCTCCTTCTTCTCCTTCCCTATGGTTGGTTTGCCTCCCAGGTGGCAGCAGTGGTGAATCGCCTCAAGCCACGGTCGGTGTCACCGCTGCTGTCAGCTGCAGCAGTGGCGGTGGTGGAAGCACTCGTGTGCTCCCCTGACAGCGACGCCACACAGGATGCAATCTTCCACGAGACTCTGCGCCAGGTCAGGAGGGGTGATGTAAAGACCTGATTCAGTTACACAATTTTGAAATTGACACCACATGGCAGCTCATCTAAAAATTTCTTCATGCCACCTAGATTCATCCTTCTCCCTTTCCCATTTCGTCGGCCTTTCTCTAAAACTCTCCCCCCCCTCCCATCTCCCTCCCCCCACTCCCATCCCACCACTCTCCCCTGCTTCTCTTCGCCCCACTCTCGAACGCATGTCTCAACACCAGGTGGCGAACCTGAAACGCCGCCTCTTCTCGCTCTTTGCGCATCCAGCCGAGGGCACGCGGGAAGCAGTGGCAGTCATCATGTGCACCATCGCAGAAGAAGACAAGGCCGCCGCCCGGCCCATGCGCGACGCCGCCCTGAAAGACGGCGCTTTCCTGCGGCACCTGAGCAACAGTGTTGCAGCAGCGGGGGGAGAGAGGAGAGAGTTGAGCCGGCAGCTGATTGCCCTCTGGGCTGAGGGACATAACCCCAGTCTGGATCTTATCAGAAGGTGCTTCCCTCCTGGCCTCTGCGCGCATCTGTACTCGCATCGCGACACGTCAGCAGTGCCACGTCAGCAGCAGGTGGGGAGGAAGGGCAGGAGGAGGGTATCAGCAGCAGCTGCTGCTATCGGCCGCAGAAGGCATGGGCTAGGGGGTGCAGGCGCTGCTGGGGGATGGGGCAGTGGGGGAGATAGCTTGGCGAGCAATCTGGGGGTTGGTTTGGGAGGAGGAGGGTCTATGGCAGGAGCAGGGAGTGGTGGGGATGGGCAGTTCTCAGCAGCTTCAGCGGATTTTCTGTCTCAGTCCACGCCTTTCCTGCCCTCCTCCCGCCCGCAAGACCTGTCCATTTCGGACTTCTGGCCTGCCGGAGCTGCCTCAGCTTCGGCCCTAGCCAGCTCGGTTATAGGCTCGGTGTCCAGTTCGGTTCGGGATGCCTTGGTCTCAGCTTCTGCTGCTGCTGTCGAAAATGCTCTCTCTGGTGGTGTTTCCGCTGCTACAGCTGCTGCTGCTGCTGCAACTCCTGCTGGTAGCACTGCTGCTGTCGCTACTGGTGCAGGTAATACTGGTGCAGGTGGTGCTGGTCCCGGTATGCCTGGTGGTGCTGCTATGGACCCGTTGGCTACTGCAGCACGTGTGTCAGGAGGAGCAGGTGGAGGGGCAGCAGTGGCAGGAGCAGTAGCAGGAGCCGCAGTGGCAGGAGGAGCACTTGCAGGAAGCACAGCAGGAACACCAGGAGCACATCAGCCACACCCTTCTCACCTGCAACAGCAGCATCAACAACAATTGCAGCAACAGTACCAGCCGCAGCATCCGCATCAACAGCAGTATCAGCAGCAACAGCAGCATTATCAGCAGCAGCAGCAGCAGCAGCAGCAGCAGCAGCAGCAGCAGCAGCAGCAGCAGCAGCAGCAGCAGCAGCAGCAGCAGCAGCAGCAGCAGCAGCAGCAGCAGCAGGGGAGCGGAGCACCAGCAGCAGTAGCATCAAGCCCACTCCCAGCAGCAGCAACAGCACTGCATACAGGCCTACCCAATTCTACCCAACTGACCCTCCCAGGTGCCCCAGCACCACCGGAAGCAGGCACAGCCGGGGGAGGTCTCAACTGGGAGCGGTTCTGGCACGAGTTTGCAGGGGATCACTGCAGGGCGGATCTGATCTGGAACGAGCGCACGAGGCAGGAGCTGAGGGAGGCTCTTCAGGGGGAGGTACATCTGCTGGACGTGGAGCAGGAGAGGTTCATGGGAGGGGGAGGGGCGGAGGAGGAAAGGCGGGAGGAGAAGGAACGACCGGAGAAGGGAGATTCTGGTGGGGAGGTTGATGGGGAGGAGGAAGGAAGAGGGGTCGTGCTTAGCTGGAATTACGCCGAGTTTCGAGTGCGGTATCGGTCATTGGCCTGTGAGCTGTGTGTGGGGGGGTACTACCTGCGCCTCTTCCTCCACCCAGCTGCCCTTGACGGTCAATCAGACGCCGCTGCTGCTGCAGCTGGTGACGGCGATGCGGATTTGTCCGGTCGTCACCAGCTGCCCACTGACACTGCAGGGGAGGCAGGGGCGGCAGCAGTGGGATCGATTCGGGACCCTGCTGCATTCTTCCGGTCGCTGTACCACCGGTTCTTGAGGGAGGCGGATATGGGGCTTGTGGTGGATGGGGTTGATGCCTCACAGGACCGTGCAAGGTGAGTTCAGAGGCGCCTCACAGTCTCACAGGACCGTGCAAGGAAAGTTCAGAGGTGCCTTGAAGAGCTCGTCTCAGTTCTTCCGGTCGCTGTACCATTTTTTAGGCGCCTCAAAGATCGGTTCTTGAGGGAGGCAGATATGGGGCTCGTGGTGGATGGGGTTGATGCCTCTCAGGACCGTGCCAGGTACGTGTTGAGGCGCCTCACAGTCTCACAGGACCGTGCAAGGTAAGTTCATAGGCGCCTTAAACCTCGTCTCATTTCTTCCGGTCGCTGTACCACCGGTTCTTGAGGGAGGCGGATATGGGGCTTGTGGTGGATGGGGTTGATGCCTCTCAGGACCGTGCAAGGTGCGTGCTCATTATGAATCACTGTTGAGAATCCTCAGAAGTGATCTAACTTCCGAATTCAACCCATCTTGTCAATTCTATCGCTTCCTTTTGACAAGGGATTTTGCTCTGTCTCCATCTGATTGCAGGCTGAGTGAGTGGTGCGACCCCACAGGCGAAGACTGCTTCGGGGGAGCGCAGCTGCAGCAACCTGCCGCAGCAGGGGATGAAGCAGCAGCAGTGGGAGGAGCAGCGGGCAAGGGAGACGGACAGGGAGGTCCGGAAGGGCAGGGCCGGAAGGGCGGAAAGGGAGGGAAGGGAGGGGGGGCGGGGAGCAATGCGGTGCAGGAGCTGTGTGCGCGGGCGATGGCGATAGTGTACGGGCAGTACGGTGCGGTGATAGGGCCGTTTGACGGCACGGCGCATGTCACTCTGCTGCTGGATCGCACCCTCGATAGAACCCTTCGACACCGCCTGCTGCTGCTTCTCAAGGTATGTGCGAGTGCAGCAGCGAGTGTGCAGCAGTGAATGCTTGTGTTACTTCTGAGAATCATAATGTTAAGTCACATTGCTGCTGGATCGCACCTTGGATAGAACCCTTCGACACCGCCTGCTTCTGCTGCTCAAGGTACGTGTGTTGCAAGTGTGCAGCAGTGAGTGCCTGTGTCGCCTTTGATAATTCCAAGGTATGTCACACTGCTGCTGGATCGCACCTTGGATAGAACCCTCCGCCGCCGCCTGCTGCTGCTCCTTAAAGTACGTGCGACTTTTGAGTCGACTCAAAAGTCACCTGCAAGTGTGCAGCAGTGAGCGTGCAGCAGGGAGTGCACAGCAGCGAGTGATTGTGTACCTTTTGAGATTCTAGAGAGTGTCCCACTGCTGCTGGATCGCACCTTGGATAGAACCCTGCGCCACCGCCTGCTGTTGCTGCTCAAGGTACGTGCGAGGTGTTCAGCAGTGAGTGTGCTGAGAATCCTCAAGAGTGTCCCACTGCTGCTGGATCGCACCTTGGATAGAACCCTCCGCTGCCGGCCGCCTGCTGCTGCTCCTCAAGGTACGTGCGAGCAGCGAGTGCGCAGCAGCAATGCGCAGCAGCGAGTGCCTGTGTCACTTGTAGAAATCTCAAGATTGTCACGCTGCATATCGCACCTTGGATAGAGAGAGCCCTCCTCTACCGCCTGCTGCTGCTCCTCAAGGTGCGTACATGTGTTCAGCAGCGAGTGCCTGTGTAGCAGAATGCGGCGGTATGGCCCTTGCCCCGTCTCCTTGCATCTCTCACACCCCTACCTGGCCTCTGTGTCGTGTCACCTGCAGGCGCTGGTGCGAGTGCGGGAGAATGCGAGTGCGTGTGTGGTGGTGGGCGGGTGTGAGCTGGCAGTCGACCTCCTCTGCTCCGCACACGACGCTCACGAGCGCACCTCCATCCCCCTGCAGGTATATGCGTGCACATGCACCGCTCATATATCCACTTACGTACCACCCCGATGCACATGCACCGCACCATCTCCTTACCATCCCTCCCCAGATATACCAGCTCTCCTTCCACACCCCTCCGTATGTACCCCCCCTTACCCATGTGCATGACATGGTCCACGATCACCTCCCTCCCATCCCTTCCTCCACATCTACCCCTCCCATCCCTCCTGCCAACTCATCCCACCCCTTTCTGATCACCACTCTTGTCCACACACCCGGCGGTCATCACTCCCGTTCACCCTACACTTTCCCTTCCTTCTTTCCTCATCAACCCCCTCCCCATCACCCCCATTCCACCTAACATGCCACCCCCCCTTCCAGTCGAACCTGCTGGCAGCGACGGCATACACAGAACCTCCCAAGGAGTGGTTCTACATGCTGCCCAACGGAGGCCGTGTGGGGCAGGTGGGGCCGGTGCACAAGGATGCATTCTGAGTCAACTGAACAAACATTCTCATCACCCCCATTGCTCGCACCCCCTGCCAGTCCAACCTGCTGGCAGCAACGGCATATACAGAGCCCCCCAAGGAGTGGTTCTACATGCTGCCCAACGGGCGCCGCGTGGGGCCGGTGCTCAAGGCAGCAGTGCAGCAGGCACGGTGGTGGGGCGAGGTGGACTGGAGCACCCGCTGCTTGGCGGCCGGGGAGTGGCGGTGCGCATGGATGGATGGATGGATTCTGAGTTGACTGAACAAACATAATCATCAACCCCTCCCCCATTGCTCCCGCCCCCTTGCATTCCAACCTGCTGGCAGCAACAGCATATACCGAACCCCCTAAAGAGTGGTTCTACATGCTGCCCAACGGAGGGAGGGTGGGGCCCGTGCTCAAGGCAGCAGTGCAGCAGGCGCGGTGGCGGGGCGAGGTGGACTGGAGCACCCGCTGCTGGGCGGCCGGGTGGGATGAGTGGCGCCGCGTGTGTGACGTGCGGGAGCTGCGCTGGGCCATGGCGACCGGTGTTGCTATTCTCACGCCTGCCCAGGTTTGCCTTGACCCATGCTCAGTTTCGTTTGCGAGGTGGACTGGGGTGACAGGTGCTAGGCCGCTGGGTGGGACAAGTGGCGGCGCGTGTGTGACGTGCGGGAGCTGCGCTGGGCCATGGCCACCAGCGTTGCCATTCTAACGCCTGCCTAGGTACGTCTCGAGTCTCAACAGCTGCTCAGCCCTGCTTGCGGCCTGCTAGGGTTTGTTTGCGACGTGGACTGGAGCACTCGGTGCTGGCCCGCTGGGTGGAAGGGGACGAGTGGCGGCGCGTTTGCGACGTGCGGGGATTGCGCTAGGCCAGTGCATCTGGTGTTGTTGCCATCCTCACACTTGCTCGGGTTCATTCGGATGTCTGCTCGAGTTGTTTGCCTTACGTTGCCATACCTACGCCTCCCTCCCTCTCTCCCTTCCTTACTGTCTCCCTCCCTCCCTCCCTCCGTCCCTCCCGCCCACCCGCACACCTCCCAAGCAGGTGGGGGAAGCAGCTCTGGAAATCCTCCTCTCCCTCGTCGCCTGCTCCTCCTCCACCTCCTCCGTCCACCTCCCCTCGTTACAATCACACACCACACCCGCCAACGGCCTGTCAGAAGTACTAGTGGGAAGCGGGGGAGCCAATTCCCTCCATGGTGGCGGCGGGGGTGGGGGCGGGGAGAGTAAGGGGAGGGAGAGGGGGGGAGGCGATGTGCTGGTGCCCATGCCGAGGGTCAAGAGAGCTCTCTGTGACCCCAGATGCCTGCCGCACCTCGCACAGGTATGTATGCTCTCCTCTTCCTTTGCACTCTGCATCCCATCTGCTGGATCTTTGAATCTTCCCCTTTCGCCCGTCCACTCTCCTACCTTCTCCGTCTCCTGCTTTCATATCCCTCTTCTTCCCCCGTCCTCCCCTCCACCATGGGCGTCCTTCCACCCACCCATACCCTATTCTCTGCTGCACCCATTCGCTTTTTTGCTACAGTCACAACAGTTCCCTTCACCTTCCCTCCTATGAACACTGCCAATCCATTCCCACCAATGAGCCTGCATTAGTGCTGAAGGCGTTGAGATGAGATGTCGTAACACTTGTTTTGTCGCTATCGTTTCAACAAACAACTCCCTTCACCCACCCTTCCATGAACACTGCCAGGCCATTCTCACCAACGAGCCTGCTATCGTGGAAAAAGCCGCGCTGCTATTGGAGGAGATCGTGCGCTACAATCCAACGGTTGCCACCCGCCTGTACACCACGGGCGTGTACTTCTTCGCATTTGCCTACGCTGGCTCCAACTTTGGCACGCTAGCGTCTCTCTGCCACGCCACACACACACGGTGAGATTGAGGGGGTAGTCATGTCATGTCATGTCATGTCATGTCATGTCATGTCATGTCATGTCATGTCATGCCACACGGTTGATTCCCAAGACGTCTCAGACCATGACTATCACATGGCTGGTGATGGGGTGGGAGACTGCCACATTGGGTCAGTCACTAATCTCCTGCACAATCCCACCCTTCCCCCCTTCCCCCACTTTCCCATATTCCCTCTCCATCCCCCACCCTTTCATCTCCCCTACCCCCATGCACATCCCCCAACCCCTCTTCCCCATCCCTGGCAGGCAAGCGTATGTGAGCGGCATAGAGGCGGCGGACATGGCATCACAGCCGCTGGCCAAGCGCAGCATCCTGGGAGTGCTGCTGCCGGAGAGTCTGCTCTACGTGCTTGATAGGCGCGGGGCGGCAGCGTTTGCCGCTGCTGTGGTGGCGGACTCTGATTCGCCGGAGCTCATCTGGACTCATGCCATGCGGGGCTCCATGCTCATCCCGCAGGTAAGGAGGACTGGGTTTTCTTTATTGTTTGGTGACTTTTGAGTCGACTCAAAAGTCACCTCGTTACAATGGCACACCGCAGGTAAGGAGGGCTGGGTTTTCTATATTGTTTGGTACGGATTTTTCTCATCCCTCTTCCTTGCATTGTTGTAATAGTACCTTCTTGAACCCCTTCTCCCCTCCTTCTCTTTCATTCCATATCCTGCAACCCCCTCTCTCCCCCTACCGCCCGCACCCCTCCCGCACCCCTTCTTCACCGCAATACAGATTCTGTCTCACCTGGGCGATTTCCCCCAGCGTCTGTGCCAGTTCTCGCGGGCGCTGTACGACCACACGCCCATGCCGCCCATCTCTTACCCCGAGCTCAAGGACGAGATGTGGTGCCACCGCTACGAGATGGGCTCCTTGAGGCGACTCAGGAATCCTTTCTACCCTCTCCTCTCCCATCTCACTTCCGGCAACCCCATCTCTCCCTCCCACCCGCCCGCACCCCCCCTCCTGGCTCTGCACTGCAGATTCTCTCCCACCTGGGCGATTTCCCTCAGCGTCTGTGCCAGTTCTCACGGGCCCTGTACGACCACATGCCCATGCCGCCCGTCTCGTACCCCGAGCTCAAGGACGAGATGTGGTGCCACCGCTACTACCTCCGCAACCTCTGTGACGAGATCCGCTTCCCTGATTGGCCGATCGTGGAGCACGTGGAGTTCCTCCAGTCGCTGCTCGCCATGTGGCGCGAGGAGCTCGCGAGGAAGCCCATGGGGATCTCGGATGAGGAAGCATGCGCCATATTGGAAATTCCCACTGGTGAGCTGCCTTCACTGCAACACGGTTGTGATTTTGTAGCGTGATTTTGTAGCCAAGAGCCCATGGGGATTTCGGATGAGGAAGCGTGCGCCATTCTCGACATTCCCACTGGTGAGCGAATTCCGAGATTTCAAAAATGAATCAGACTGGTGAGCATTGTGACACAGCGTTGTGACACAGCGTTGTGACACCTGAGTCGATTAAAGAGCCCATGGGGATTTCGGATGGAAACGCGTGCGCCATTCTCAACATTCCCACTGGTGAGCTCTCTTCACTGCAATGACCCCCTTGGTGACTTAAGTATCACAAACTTGAATGCGATGCGAGTTCGAATGAGTATTGGCTTAGTATTTCTGCCTGCCCTCCCCCCACCATCCTTTCTTCAAACCCTCTCTCCCCCTTTCCTCCCTCCGAATCCTCATCTGTCCACGCTTTGCTCTCCCAGACAAGCAGCAGCCAGCCTCCTCCGCCGCCCCAGGCACAGCCTTCCCCGCTACAAGACAAGGCGTGCAAGTGGACGAGGACGTGCTGAAGCGGCAGTACCGGCGCATGGCGGTGAGATACCACCCGGACAAGAACCCCGAGGGGCGGGACAAGTTCATAGCGGTGCAGAAGGCATACGAGCACCTGCAGTCCGCCATGCAGGGCCTGCAGGGGCCGCAGACCTGGCGTGTGCTGCTGCTGCTGCGCGCGCAGATCATTCTGTTTAGGAGGTATCCGGGGGTTTTGGAGCCGTTTAAGTATGCTGGGTTCCCGCTACTGCTGCAGCTGTTGCGACTGGAGGATGGGGATGGCGAGGCAGGTGCAGGGAATGCAGGGGTTGGTGTGGTTGATGCTGCTGGTGGTGCTGTTGATGGTGGGGATGGTGTGAATGGGAAGGCGAGGTGGCAGCAGGAGAGCGCATCTAGCTTCCTGTCACCAGAGCGGTCGCAGTTACTGCAAGCAGCAACTCATCTGCTGTGGCTCATGTGAGTAGCAACACTGCTCCCGGCGCCTGCTGATTGCTGGTGTTCCATTCTCCTCCCCGCTGCTCCCAACTGCTGCTGCTCTACTTCCTGGCTCTTTTCTGTTCTATTCGTTCATTTGATCTCAGTTCATGACAACGAGATGTGTTCTATTCGTTCTCCCTTCCGCCCTCCCTCCTCACACCCCCTCCCCTCCAGCTGTGCCTGTTCCTCCCTCAATGGTGAAGAGCTCTTGAGAGACGGGGGCCTGCCTCTCCTCACCACGCTCCTCTCCCGCTGCCTCTCCCTCCTCTCCCCCTCCTCCTCCCCCACCGACCCTCCTGCTCTCATCGCCACCCACATTCTCCGCACCCTCGCCATTCTCTCCGCTTTCCCCTCTGCCCGCACCGAGGTTCGGACCAACCAAGCCTGCGCAGCAGCCTTGGTCCCGGACCTGGTGGTGGCGACGGAGCTAGAGAGCACGCCCGGGGCTGTGGAAGCAGCGTTGGAAGGGATTTTCCACCTAGCGCTGTCCAAGGGGTTAAGAGAGAGGCTGCTAAGGGCTGGTGCGCTGTGGTACCTGCTTCCGCTGCTGTTTAAGTTCGATTCCACTGCAGATACTGCTGGTGATGCCACAAGCAGCGGCGGCGGCGGCAGCGGCAGCACGAGCGCAGGTGCAGCAGTTGCTGCAAAGGTTGGCAGCGGCGGCGGAGCCTTGCTTCCATCTGCCTCTCAATACCATCAGTCCCCTTCCCAGTACCTCGCCCTGCCCTCCACATCCCACACAATCTCCACCCCTCTCCCTTCAACCGGCACAAACAGCACCAGAATCAACACCATCGGCACTACATTCTCCTCGTCCTCCTCATCTGCCCCCGCCTCTGCTGTCACGGGTGGCACGAGCCAATCAGCAATCGGGGCAAACGTCCAGTCAGAGCGCAACCTACACGCAGTACTGGCAGCAAGAGCCATTGCTCGACTGACAGGGTACCTGAGGGAGAAAAGCGGGTTTGCAGAGAGGGCAGGCGAGGAGGAGGGGTGGGGGGAGGGGGAGGGGGAGCAGGGTTCGTCGGATGCAGCAGCAAGGGCGGCTGTGAAGGTCTTGCTCACGCCGAGACTGGCCGCTAGACTGGCAGAGAACTCTCCTGTGGGGCTGCTGAAGGCGCTGACGAGCAACGTGGAAAGCCCTCAGGTGAGTGCTGATGCTGATTGTCCTTTAGAATTCTAAAAAAACTGCCTATAGCAAGACAAGAGGGGTTGTGGTGCTGCTGACGCCCAGGCTGGCAGAGACCTGAGAGGAACGGAATGGAGGACTGGGAGGGTGCAGAGAGGGGTGCATGGGTTGTTGGTCAGTGTGTGCACTCTGCCTGAACTCCTCGTAACCCGTTGTTCATGTTACAGCACATGATGTGGAGCAGCATCACGACGGCACAGGGAGGGGCACATGAGTTGCTTGTTGATGTGTGCGGATTCAGCTTGATTGAACTGTATCGGCCCCTCCTTGTTTTTTCGGCAGGTGATATGGAGCAGCGGCATGAGGGCACAGCTGCTGCGTTTTCTGGAGGACAGGAGGGCGCAGAGGGAGGCAGATGGGTCGTATGCGGTGGATGCATGCCAGACGTTTGTGTACACCGCACTGGAGGATGAGATCCAGGTGAGCTTAAAACGAGGATGAGATCCAGGTGAGCTTAAAACGAGGATGAGATCCAGGTGAGCTTAAAACGAGGATGAGATCCAGGTGAGCTCTTTCTTTGAAGCAAGAGCTTATCCCCCTTCTATTCCCATTCCTCCCTAATGCGCATTAGTGGTGTGGCGGCTGCCGGTGAGGCCCATGTGAGTGTACGTTCCAACGCTCACACACGAGAGAGACCACATGCACGCTGTTCCCTCCACTGATCCCATCCCATCCCATCCCATCCCTGTCCATGTCATCCACATCCAGCACCCCGGCTTCCCTCTCTTCAACCCGTATCTCTGTCCGCTGCCACTCATTCATTTCCTTCCCTCTTCCACACTCCTCTGCGCCTCGCATCCCCTCCCACCAGGTGGGAGACATCTACCTGCATCTCTTCATCCAGCACCCCGACTTCCCTCCCTCCCCTCTAATCCCCTCTCATCCAATCCCTTGTTCCCCGCTCCCTCCCTGCACCCCGCCACCAGGTGGGAGACATCTATCTCCGCCTCTTCATCCAGCATCCAGACTTCCCTCTCTCCGACCCTGAATCCCTCTCCGCTGCCCTCGTGCCCTTCCTGCTCGACATGTGCGCGCTCCTCCCGCCCATGCACCACTCCCAAACGCACCACACGCCTCTGCATCCCGCTGCTGCCCTGCTGCTGCGCAAGTGGGACCGGCGGGGTGGGGAGGAAGGCGAGGGAGAGGAAGAGGAGGAGAGAGAGGACGGGAAACGGGGAGGGGAGGAGGAGGAGAGAAATGGAGGTGGGGAGGGACACGGCGGAGGGTTTAGGATTCCAGACGATTGGGAAGTTGATGGGGGGGTAGGAGGGGCAGGAGGGAGGGGTGGCGGGGAGGAGCAGGACGGGGGCGGGAGGGATAGGAAAGGGAGGCGGAAGAGGAGGAGGAAGGCTCGGGATGTGCGGTGGGTGTTGGAGAATATCATCATGGCCCTCACCTCTCTCCACAACGTCCTCTCCACCTCGCCTTCTGCCGCCGCTGCCGTCGCCTCCCCTGCCTCCCTCGCCCCTCTCTTCACCTGCATCTCCCTCTCCCTCCCCACACTCCCTGCTCCACCCTCCTCTTTCTCCTCTTCCTCTCCCTCGACCGCCACACCCTCCGCTCTCTCCGCTGCACACATAGAGGCCAGAATCCGCCACCTGGCTCTGGCAGTGCTAACCAGACTCACGGGGTTCGCCCCCAGTGTGGCTGCCATGGTATCAGACCGCGGGTCGCTCCTCATGCTGCTGCTGCTGCTCGTGCGATCGCCGCAATCTCGGCCGTCCATTCTGGGCATGCTCCAGTCGCTGGCGGGGACACCGGAGCTGGCGTGGGTGGTGGCAAAGCAAGGAGGCATTGTCTTCCTCCTCGTCCTCCTGCTCCCTGCCCCCGGTACGCATTCACCTTACTTCGGATTCCAGGGTAGAACTTGCAACCCTCTCTAACGTGAATCAAGTACTTCTACCTCTTCTTTGGATGCTTCATATGTCCGTCTCTTTCGCTATCCCCTCCTCTGTGCCTCCTTCGCGCCACTCAAGTTCAACGCTTGTTTGCACCTACTTCTCTTCTCTCTGAGCATGTATGCCCACACTCACTCATTCCTCTCTCTACGCCCCTCCCTTGCAGGAGACGACATACACCACTCTATCCGCGTCACCACGGCCCTCCTTCTCTCCGCGCTCCTCTCTCAGCCCCTCCACGGCCCGCGTGTCTTCCTCTCCCTCTCCCGATTCCTCCCCCCCGGCCTCCTCTCCTTCCTGCGAGACGGCTCGGGGGAGGCCGCCATTGCCGCCCTCTCCCAGACCACGCAAACCCCCGAGCTCGTCTGGTCCCCCGCGCTCGCGCTCAATCTCGGCCGTCGGATTGCGGTGCTGGCTGCTGAGGTCGTACGGATGGTGGAGATTGCACGGAGGTCTGGGGGTGGGGGCAAGGGAGGAGGGGAGGGTGGCGCTTCCTCTGTCTTTGGAGGTCTAGCCTCTTTTGAATGGGATCCGCCTGATCTCGTGGGGGCTACTGGTGGGGCTGGTTCAGGTGTTGCATCAGGTGCTGGTTCAGGTGCTCCAGGTGGGGCGTCAGGCGCATCAGACAACAGTCTGTTGAATTCACCTGAAGACGGGGACGAGTGGCAGGTGGGGGGCGTGCACATTCGTCTCTTCCTCAAGGACCCCAAGTACCCGCTGCGCAACCCCAAGCGCTTTCTCGAGGGCCTTCTCGACCAATACGTGCTTGCCACGTCAGCACTTTTCGCCCCAGCTTCCCCTGCTCCTGCTCCTACAGCAGCAGCAGGGGCACTAGCAACGGCAGCAGCGGGAGCAGGGAGGGGCTTGGTAGGAGCAGCAGCAGTGGCAGCAGCGGCAGAAAGAGTTGAGCTTCTAGCAACGGCACTCATCTCCCTGCTGCGCGTTCAGCCACTCCTGAGTGAACACGTGGCACTGCTGGGCTATGTGCCGAAGCTGCTGCTGCTGACTGCAGCAGAGGGGCAACTGCTTACCGCCTCTGCTGCCTCTGCTGCTGGCGCTGCTGCTGCTGCTCCTTCTCCTGCCACTGCAACTGCTGCAGCAGGGGGAGTAGCAGCTGGGGGTGCAGGGGCAGGGGGGGCACAGGGTGGGACGAGGGGAGGGGTAACTGCAGCAGAGGCGGATGAGGAGGCGAGGAGGCAGGCGGGGGAGAGGGCGCGCATGTGCTCCTTGAAGCTGCTCCACCAGATAGCTGCCAATGGGCCCTGCGCTGAGGCTCTGGCTGTCCCCGGCACCAATGCCCCCCAGGTGAGACTTGAATGCCCCTCAGGTAGGACTCCCATGCTTCGAGACGTCTCAAAAAGCAAGGGTATTTGCGGAGGCAGACGCGGGGGCGAGGAGGCAGGCAGGGGAGAGGGCGCATATGTGCTCGTTGAAGAAGTTGCCGCCAATGGGCCCCCCTGGATTATCCCCTCTGGATAAAGGTTCGCCCCTGGATCAAGGCGCGCCCCTGGATTAAGGCGCGCCCCTGGATTAAGGTTCGCCCCCGGATTAAGGTTCGCCCCCGGATTAAGGTTCACCCCCGGATTGAGGTTCGCCCCCGGATTAAGGTTCCCCCCCGGATTAAGGTTCGCCCCCGGATTAAGGTTCACCCCCGGATTAAGGTTCACCCCCGGATTAAGGTTGACCCCCGGATTAAGGTTGACCCCCGGATTAAGGTTGACCCCGGATTAAGGTTGACCCCCGGATTAAGGTTCACCCCCGGATTAAGGTTCACCCCGGGATTAAGGTTCGCCCCCGGATTAAGGTTCACCCCTGGATTAAGGTTCTCCCCCGGATTAAGGTTCGCCCCCGGATTAAGGTTCGCCCCCGGATTAAGGTTCGCCACCGGATTAAGGTTCGCCACCGGATTAAGGTTCGCCCCCGGATTAAGGTTCGCCCCCGGATTAAGGTTCGCCCCCGGATTAAGGTTCGCCCCCGGATTAAGGTTCGCCACCGGATTAAGGTTCGCCCCCGGATTAAGGTTCGGCCCCGGATTAAGGTTCGCCCCCGGATTAAGGTTCGCCCCCGGATTAAGGTTCGCTCCCGGATTAAGGTTCGCCCCCGGATTAAGGTTCGCCCCCGGATTAAGGTTCGCCCCCAAATTAAGGTTCGCCCCCGGATTATGGTTGGCCCCCGGATTATGGTTGGCCCCCGGATTAAAGTTCGCCCCCGGATTAAGGTTCGCCCCCGGATTAAGGTTCGCCCCCGGATTATGGTTCGCCCCCGGATTAAGGTTCGCCCCCGGATTAAGGTTCGCCCCCGGATTAAGGTTCGCCCCCGGATTAAGGTTCGCCCCCCGATTAAGGTTCGCCCCCGGATTAAGATTCGCCCCCGGATTAAGGTTCGCCCCCGGATAAAGGTTCGCCCCCGGATTAAGGTTCGCCCCCGGATTAAGGTTCGCCCCCGGATTAAGGTTCGCCCCCTCGGATTAAGGTTCGCCCCCGGATTAAGGTTCGCCCCCGGATTAAGGTTCGCCCCCGGATTAAGGTTCGCCCCCGGATTAAGGTTCGCCCCCGGATTAAGGTTCGCCCCCGGATTATGGTTCGCCCCCGGATTAAAGTTCGCCCCCGGATTAAGGTTCGCCCCCGGATTAAGGTTCGCCCCCGGATTAAGGTTCGCCACCGGATTAAGGTTCGCCACCGGATTAAGGTTCGCCCCCGGATTAAGGTTCGCCCCGGATTAAGGTTCGCCCCCGGATTAAGGTTCGCCCCCGGATTAAGGTTCGCCCCCGGATTAAGGTTCGCCACCGGATTAAGGTTCGCCCCCGGATTAAGGTTCGGCCCCGGATTAAGGTTCGCCCCCGGATTAAGGTTCGCCCCCGGATTAAGGTTCGCTCCCGGATTAAGGTTCGCCCCCGGATTAAGGTTCGCCCCCGGATTAAGGTTCGCCCCCAAATTAAGGTTCGCCCCCGGATTATGGTTGGCCCCCGGATTATGGTTGGCCCCCGGATTAAAGTTCGCCCCCGGATTAAGGTTCGCCCCCGGATTAAGGTTCGCCCCCGGATTATGGTTCGCCCCCGGATTAAGGTTCGCCCCCGGATTAAGGTTCGCCCCCGGATTAAGGTTCGCCCCCGGATTAAGGTTCGCCCCCCGATTAAGGTTCGTCCCCGGATTAAGATTCGCCCCCGGATTAAGGTTCGCCCCCGGATAAAGGTTCGCCCCCGGATTAAGGTTCGCCCCCGGATTAAGGTTCGCCCCCGGATTAAGGTTCGCCCCCTCGGATTAAGGTTCGCCCCCGGATTAAGGTTCGCCCCCGGATTAAGGTTCGCCCCCGGATTAAGGTTCGCTCCCGGATTAAGGTTCGCCCCCGGATTAAGGTTCGCCCCCGGATTATGGTTCGCCCCCGGATTAAAGTTCGCCCCCGGATTAAGGTTCGCCCCCGGATTAAGGTTCGCCCCCGGATTATGGTTCGCCCCCGGATTAAGGTTCGCCCCCGGATTAAGGTTCGCCCCCGGATTAAGGTTCGCTCCCGGTTTAAGGTTCGCCCCCGGATTAAGGTTCGCCCCCGGATTAAGGTTCGCCCCCGGATTAAGGTTCGCCCCCGGATTATGGTTGGCCCCCGGATTATGGTTCGCCCCCGGATTAAGGTTCGCCCCCGGATTAAGGTTGGCCCCCGGATTATGGTTGGCCCCCGGATTAAGGTTGGCCCCCGGATTAAGGTTGGCCCCCGGATTAAGGTTCGCCCCCGGATTAAGGTTCGCCCCCGGATTAAGGTTCGCCCCCGGATTAAGGTTCGCCCCCGGATTAAGGTTCGCCCCCGGATTAAGGTTCGCCCCCGGATTAAGGTTCGCCCCCGGATTAAGGTTCGCCCCCGGATTAAGGTTCGCCCCCGGATTAAGGTTCGCCCCCGGATTAAGGTTCGCCCCCGGATTAAGGTTCGCCCCCGGATTAAGGTCCCCCCCGGATTAAGGTTCGCCCCCGGATTAAGGTTCGCCCCCGGATTAAGGTTCGCCCCCGGATTATGGTTCGCCCCCGGATTAAGGTTCACCCCCGGATTAAGGTTCGCCCCCGGATTAAGGTTCGCCCCCGGATTAAGGTTCGCCCCCGGATTAAGGTTCGCCCCCGGATTAAGGTTCGCCCCGGATTATGGTTCGCCCCCGGATTAAGGTTCGCCCCCGGATTAAGGTTCGCCCCCGGATTAAGGTTCGCCCCCGGATTAAGGTTCGCCCCCTCGGATTAAGGTTCGCCCCCGGATTAAGGTTCGCCCCCGGATTAAGGTTCGCCCCCGGATTAAGGTTCGCCCCCGGATTAAGGTTCGCCCCCGGATTAAGGTTCGCCCCCGGATTATGGTTCGCCCCCGGATTAAAGTTCGCCCCCGGATTAAGGTTCGCCCCCGGATTAAGGTTCGCCCCCGGATTAAGGTTCGCCCCCGGATTAAGGTTCGCCCCCGGATTAAGGTTCGCCCCCGGATTAAGGTTCGCTCCCGGTTTAAGGTTCGCCCCCGGATTAAGGTTCGCCCCCGGATTAAGGTTCGCCCCCGGATTAAGGTTCGCCCCCGGATTATGGTTGGCCCCCGGATTATGGTTCGCCCCCGGATTAAGGTTCGCCCCCGGATTAAGGTTGGCCCCCGGATTATGGTTGGCCCCCGGATTAAGGTTGGCCCCCGGATTAAGGTTCGCCCCCGGATTAAGGTTCGCCCCCGGATTAAGGTTCGCCCCCGGATTAAGGTTCGCCCCTGGATTAAGGTTCGCCCCCGGATTAAGGTTCGCCCCCGGATTAAGGTTCGCCCCCGGATTAAGGTTCGCCCCCGGATTAAGGTTCGCCCCCGGATTAAGGTTCGCCCCCGGATTAAGGTTCGCCCCCGGATTAAGGTTCGCCCCCGGATTATGGTTCGCCCCGGATTAAGGTTCGCCCCCGGATTAAGGTTCGCCCCCGGATTAAGGTTCGCCCCCGGATTAAGGTTCGCCCCCGGATTAAGGTTCGCCCCCGGATTAAGGTTCGCCCCCGGATTAAGGTCCCCCCCGGATTAAGGTTCGCCCCCGGATTAAGGTTCGCCCCCGGATTATGGTTCGCCCCCGGATTAAGGTTCCCCCCGGATTAAGGTTCGCCCCCGGATTAAGGTTCGCCCCCGGATTAAGGTTCGCCCCCGGATTAAGGTTCGCCCCCGGATTATGGTTCGCCCCCGGATTAAGGTTCGCCCCCGGATTAAGGTTCACCCCCGGATTAAGGTTCGCCCCCGGATTAAGGTTCGCCCCCGGATTAAGGTTCGCCCCCGGATTAAGGTTCGCCCCCGGATTAAGGTTCGCCCCCGGATTAAGGTTCGCCCCCGGATTAAGGTTCGCCCCCGGATTATGGTTCGCCCCCGGATTAAGGTTCGCCCCCGGATTAAGGTTCGCCCCCGGATTAAGGTTCGCCCCCGGATTAAGGTCCCCCCCGGATTAAGGTTCGCCCCCGGATTAAGGTTCGCCCCCGGATTAAGGTTCGCCCCCGGATTATGGTTCGCCCCCGGATTAAGGTTCACCCCCGGATTAAGGTTCGCCCCCGGATTAAGGTTCGCCCCCGGATTAAGGTTCGCCCCCGGATTAAGGTTCGCCCCCGGATTAAGGTTCGCCCCGGATTATGGTTCGCCCCCGGATTATGGTTCGCCCCCGGATTAAGGTTCGCCCCCGGATTAAGGTTCGCCCCCGGATTAAGGTTCGCCCCCTCGGATTAAGGTTCGCCCCCGGATTAAGGTTCGCCCCCGGATTAAGGTTCGCCCCCGGATTAAGGTTCGCCCCCGGATTAAGGTTCGCCCCCGGATTAAGGTTCGCCCCCGGATTATGGTTCGCCCCCGGATTAAAGTTCGCCCCCGGATTAAGGTTCGCCCCCGGATTAAGGTTCGCCCCCGGATTAAGGTTCGCCCCCGGATTAAGGTTCGCCCCCGGATTAAGGTTCGCCCCCGGATTAAGGTTCGCTCCCGGTTTAAGGTTCGCCCCCGGATTAAGGTTCGCCCCCGGATTAAGGTTCGCCCCCGGATTAAGGTTCGCCCCCGGATTATGGTTGGCCCCCGGATTATGGTTCGCCCCCGGATTAAGGTTCGCCCCCGGATTAAGGTTGGCCCCCGGATTATGGTTGGCCCCCGGATTAAGGTTGGCCCCCGGATTAAGGTTCGCCCCCGGATTAAGGTTCGCCCCCGGATTAAGGTTCGCCCCCGGATTAAGGTTCGCCCCTGGATTAAGGTTCGCCCCCGGATTAAGGTTCGCCCCCGGATTAAGGTTCGCCCCCGGATTAAGGTTCGCCCCCGGATTAAGGTTCGCCCCCGGATTAAGGTTCGCCCCCGGATTAAGGTTCGCCCCCGGATTAAGGTTCGCCCCCGGATTATGGTTCGCCCCGGATTAAGGTTCGCCCCCGGATTAAGGTTCGCCCCCGGATTAAGGTTCGCCCCCGGATTAAGGTTCGCCCCCGGATTAAGGTTCGCCCCCGGATTAAGGTTCGCCCCCGGATTAAGGTTCGCCCCCGGATTAAGGTCCCCCCCGGATTAAGGTTCGCCCCCGGATTA